TTAGGATTTGTCTATGCAACATGCGCGACCGTGGGTCAGGCTGAACGTACACCCGCCTTTGCTCCAGCTTACCTCAGTGGTGTGATAAATCCATGGCAGGAGCTGAGCCACATTGGTATAAACCCCAGGGTGGTTGGGTTCGGCACAGCCCCGGCCCCAGCTCACGATGCCCACCAAGCGCCACGCGAATTCATCCTGGCAGACCAGGGGGCCGCCGCTGTCGCCCTGCAAGACAGAGTAAGGACTAACGACGCAGCTCTGCCCCACTGGCAGCCGGGACACGGAGCAGGCTGGCTTCTCCCACGCGGCTTTGTTCCATCAGCCGTACAAGCAGCAGAGAGGTGGGTACAAGAAGCAGCATGTGCCTCCCTGCAAGGCTTCTGCGTTCCTTCTATACAGATAGCCAAATCTCAGCCCAACGCCAACGCACCGGGCGCTGCGGGCTCCACGCTGCAGTGCAAGATGCAACGGGCCCAGCACTACCCCTCACAGACTGTTTACTGCAAGCTATTGCCACAAAACCCAGCGTTTGCTGGAGCACAACCTATCGGTCCTTTCCACACCCGCCACGTGCACTCAGCGTGCGCCAGTCGCTCCCTCCCGTTACCTGGCACGCGTCTGTTCTCCCACGCGCGTAGCCGGCACACAGCATCCTGGCAGTGATCTCGCCCGAGTACATGCACGAGCTATTGCACATCTTGGTGCTGATTAAGGGAACGAGTGCTTCCTGCAGCGTCTCAGTAACCTGTGCTGGGGAGGGAGAAAGAGAAGTCAAGAGGGAAACAAGACCTGCAGGGAGCAAAAAGGAAAGAGCAGGGCATGAGCTGGAGAAGTCAGAAGATAGGGAAGATGGGATTACCCTGTGGGATTAAACACGGCCGGGCCCCCAGCAGCTGCGGATGTGGGGTGCAGAGCTGCTGGAGCAGGGGTGGGATGAACGCAGGAGGTGGCATTTGCAAGATCACATGCGGCATGGAAGGGGCTGGACAGGGCCGGCGGGTCGCCCGGCGAAAGCCCCCCGTCAGTGCCGAGCAGCAGGGACAAGGCAGGAGCTTACCCTGGTCTGGTCTGGTATAGCCCCAGCCGGAGACCCAACACTGTGTGCCCTGGAAGAGGTCCCGGCGGGAGGGCGGCAGACACACGGCACAGATGGCACCTGGTAAGAAGGTGACGGGTGAGTGCCAGGCCAGCGGGGACGGCTTCGTGCTGTGCCGAGCATGAGCAGCCGGGGAAGGGCTGCGGAGCCTGGCATGCCGCAGTGAAAGGCTCTCGGGCCAGGCGCTCTGGAGCCTTCAGCTCCCACGGCCACTCTCCCAGTAATTCACAGCTCTGGCATAGTTCCAAACACCGTGCTGCCATGCACGCTGCCTCCCAGGTGCCAGGCTGGGTATCCTTAAAGAGCTGCTCTGAAATAGGTTCAGAAGAGGCTGGGTTTCGGCCATTGCTTAATTGTGGATACAACAGACACCTCCACAGATGGGAGGAGGACATAACAGCATCTTACCTGAGAAATTCAGGGGGGCTTGGAGCTTCAGCAGAGCAATGTCGTAGTCGAGGCTATCGTCGTCATAAAGCGGGTGGTAAATTATTTTCTTTACCGATACCCCAGCCTCCTGCTTGATCGAGCCGTGGGTGACAATGCCTGCGAAAACCAGCCAGGCGGAGGCTTG